ATTACTAAAGTACTTGATAGTTTTGATGAGGATAAGGCATGTAAAATCGTTTTTAATGAAGAGAAAGGTAAAACATTTGATTAAGCTCGAAAATCTCGAGCGATAAAACACGGCGTCGTCGGCAAAAAGCTTACAGTTCACATTGAAAGAGGAGGCGATATCATTAATGAAAAGATTGAATATATATTATTAAAATTTTTATAAAAAGTATTACTGAAGTTATTATTCAAAATATTATTAAAAATATTACTAAATATTATATTAAAATTATCAAAGGTTATTATAAAAAATGCTACTGAATGTTATTGAAATTCTTATTAAAATTTGTATTGAATTTATTATTAAAATTAGTATTTAAATATATGTTAAAGTTATTATTGTATGTAACGCTAAAATTATTAGTGAACTTTTTATTGAAATGTTTATTAAATTTTCTATCTTAATTAGTGCTAAAATTATTATTGAAATTATTTCAATAATATTAATATTGTTATTGTTTATAATAATGTTGTTAAGAATTTTAATAATATTTTAAATAATAAATGTAATAATAATATGTCTAATAAAAATTCAATGATAATTTGAATATTAATTTCGATGAACAATTAAAATTATAATTATATTAAAAATTATATTCATACTTTCAATATTTCCAATAATAATTTTTATAATAATTTCAATGGTACTGTCAATATGGGTTTTATTAGTAAGTTTAATACTAATTTTTATCAAAATTTTAATAATAGAAATTCAGAAAAAATTCGATAGAGAATGTTATGAAACGTCCAGGGAACATAAAACATTTATAGCAAATTTTGCGTCATTTTACTTGATGAAATTTCATGTCTGATCTTGGGAACTCCATACAAAGTGATTAAAACTAGACCCTGACTAGTGAAAAATAGGTATCGCTTCACTTATCGCTAAATAGGTGTCGCTAAAAATCACTTGCAGAATAAATTGTTTTTTGTAATCAGAATACGTTCTAAGTAATAAGCTCTCAGCAAACATGTCGAATTTTAGGTAAACGTTTGCAAACGCTTATGCTGTCGTGTAGAAATTACCTGAACTCAGATATTATTCGCGAACAATACTCAGCTTTTAATGCATCAACTTCAAGACGAAATCCACTCTTTTCAATGCCACTGATCTCACAGTATTAGCTTTGTACGAACGAACATGTCGATGTCGGAAATTGTTGTTTTGACTCGAACAAGACTGATGGCAGCAGCAAACAAACGTGGCCGGTCAGAAAATGGATATAATGACGGTCAGAATAATGAAATGCCGGTCAGAAAATGCATTATAATATGATACTTCCATGTCGATATACGTAACTCTACATAACATTTCAATTTGTCTTATACTTATTAATATTTAAAATTTCTCAATTGTCTTCGTCTTGTTTACTGTTGTCATGGCAAATATGAGCGATAAATAATTAGCAACGTAAAACGTTCTATTACTATTGAACGTATTCTCACTATTATTGAACATTCTCAGAAGTGTTACCACCTCATGCTTACTGTGTTCCCCGCACTCGACCACAAGATTGATTTATGACACAAGCTTGAGAGCAGCAAACCTCGATTTTGCCAAGGCATTTGATAGTGTTCCGCATGAGCGACTGTTACGCAAAGTGAATTCTTTGGGAATAGAGGGAAATGTACTCCAATGGATCAGGAATTTCCTAGTAGGCAGAAGACAACGTGTCAGCATCAACGGAACCGTATCAGACTGGGTAACTGTGCGCAGTGGCGTCCCGCAAGGAAGAGTTCTTGGACCTGTTTTGTTCGTCGCTTTTATAAACGAACTCCAGAAGTAGTGTCAAGCGTGTGCTCCATGTATGCCGATGACACAAAAGTTTATAATACAGTTAAGGATGCAAATGCAACTGCAAAATGATCTTGATAGTTTAGTTGACTGGGCTGATGCGTGGCAGCTGCGTTGCAATGCTGACAAGGGTAAAGTACTTCACCTCGGCAAGAACAATGAACAGCAAGCTTACAGCATGAGAAGACACGGTTGCAACGAGAGGGTTATGATTGAGAAGTCTTGCGTGGGAAAAGATCTTGGAGTTTGTGTCGACAAGGAGCTAAAATTTTATAGGCATATTGAAACGCAAGTTAATACGTCCAATAAACCCTCGTAACGTACAGTAAAAACCCTCGAAAAAAAGTATTGCTAAAAATGCAAAAAATAACCCGAAAGCCTTCTTTTTGTACGCTAGCTCGAAGTGCAAGATGAAGGACGGTATTTCTGATTTGAAAGTAGATCAGCGAAAGATCTCCTCTGATGAGGGCAAAGCCAACGTACTTAATCATTTTTTCAGTAGCGTATTCACTGAAGAGGACTTGAACAGTATTCCAGCTATTGAGGAGCGCCCAGTCGGCTCTAAATTAACAAGCTTTGAAATACAAGAAGAAGAGGTTCTCAAGCGCCTTACCGCTGTAAATCCAAACAAGTCATGTGGACCAGACGGCTTCCACCCCAGATTACTCAAAGAGTTAGCAACTGTCCTAGCCGGCCCTCTGACGTCACTTTTTCGAAAAACTTCGAACGAAATCCTGAGGGCTGATTGGTCTAATTCAATTGATTCGTTCTGTCTGGTGGCTTTCGGCTGCCTATATGATTTTCCAGAAGTGTTGAAGACTACGTTCTGGAGGGCAGGAGTCATGATAGTCCATTACATCCAGGGCAGTGGTGGTCTTGGGCAGGCTTCCCGTCCCCAACGTCTCACCACGCAACCACGCGCAAATCCGCTCACCGCGCAACCACGGTGGCCCGTCGACCTGCACCTCCTGCCTGGGTTACCAATTCCTCCTGCATCATCACATCGAGCAGGTCACGTGAGCTAATCCAATAAATCAACTAATCAATCAATTGTGTGTTTGCTTAACTAACCAAATTCGTCCTACCCCGATCACTATGTTTCTGTCTGTCCTTAGTGAATAATTCAATTTAGCTGCCTAGGCCGTTCAAATTCTCTGATTCATTGGAATTAAACGCAGTTAATGTGGAGTGGTAAGTCATAAACCCCCACAACTTGTTGGAATTTAGAGCTACCAGGCGCTTAAGAACCTCTTCTTAAGCGCATCTTCTTCGTGTATTTCAAAACATGTTAACTTCGAGCCGACTGGGCGCTCCTCAATATCTGGAATACTGTTCAAGTCCTCATCTGTGAACACACTGCTGAAGAACTGATTAAGAACGTTAGCCTTGCCCTCATCAGAGGAAATCTTTCGTTGGTCTACTTTCAAATC